CTTCTCTCTACTTCTCTGCAAAACCAAAAATAGACAGGGTTTCGAGCATAAACTACTTTATTGTCACCATAGACGAATGTCTATATTTCAGTGAACACACAAAAAATGTTCCCATCAAAGCACCACGGTACAGCTATTTTTTGAAAGCTTAACCTCATTTCGAGGCGACAAAATAATCAATGAACCGCTTTTTAGACCCCGCATAATTACTCCAATCACATTTGCTGCGCCACTATACTACTTCTCCCTTCGTAATGTTGATTCATTCAAATTTGACCGGTTCTGAAAAATTTTGGCAAAGCAGGTCGAATAAGTTGTCCGACGTGAATATCTTTAGCTTCACGATAGGTCAGATTGTAAGACCTGTTACACAGCTTGGTACCTTTACGCTTACCAATTCTCTCTATCCTATCCTAACCAAACCCATTCAAAATTCGCTTCACTGTCTCAATTTGCAATGTCCCAATATGTCTCCATATGTGAAGACTGGAGACTACAACGTCTCAACATGTAACGACTGGAGCATGCAAATAGTCCGTAATTTTATAAATGTTAATGACTCTGTGGAACGAGAAACAAAAAAGAGGAACCTACTTCAATCAATCTTACCAAGCTAATTTACACATTCACATATTTAACTGCATTTACAGCTTACTGATGAACCCATTTCCCTCTTATTATTTTTTATTCCTGGTCTTGTCGTCGTGTATTTCTTTGCTGCTGCGTATCAAATAGATATTGTTTTACTTATGGATCATTGGTATCTGAAATGTTAGTCAGTGCCAGTTTCACTTGTTAATTCAACTATTTTAACTCCGCCCTAGCCTGTCTAAAGCCCGGTTGAGAAAAAAGGAGGGTTGGAAACCTTGGCGAGGTCTCGCTAAAAAATCGCCACCTGCCACTCATTATATTGGCGTCATCAAAAGTTATGCCGCCTCGGCCGACGCCCGGCATACCAAGAATCGCACAGGCTGTTGGGAGACTAACGCAGGCGGCAGTTATAGCCTGCTCATTGTCCCCTGTAAGCCGAGGGTGTAGCAGCATCACAGCGGCTGACGAAGATATACGGGACGACGACGAAAATGCCAGTAATCAAGGAAACTCTGAACGGGGTAGGCGGGTAACGCAATGCACATCAGAAAGGGCTTCACGAGAGTGACTCGCGAGTTGGAGCTTCCAGTCAGAAATTGGCATGTATCCTCACTCAGATGGTTGACGAGGCCGTAAACTACCAATTTGACATTGTTGGATTCTTGTTAACGAAACGTCAAGGCTGAACCTTTGCGCGGGAAGCTATACTACTGAAAAGTCGATATCACGACCTGCGGGCAAGCGGGATTGGTGTTCTGATAGAACCCAACCTGGCTGATAGAATCACTGAGTAGAAGCCTGTCAGCGGAAGAGTAGCAATCCATCGACTGAAGTTATAACGGGTTAAAGCGCTGACCTTGTAACAGGTCTATGCGCCCAATTTAAAGGTAGAATATGATTCCTTCCTTGAGGAAAAAGAGTGTGCTCTGTACGAAACGCCAAATACGGAGCCTCTCATACTTATGGGCGATTTTAATGCGCACGTCAGAGTAGCCGCTGAGAAATGGAATGGCGTGACTGCAAAAATGGTCCTACCGACCTCAA